TATCCAAGATGCTCATTGAACCCCACATAAGGTAGATCCCAAAAGAAAGTCACCAAGACATATTATAATCAAACTTGACAAAACCAAAGATAAAGAGAGAATTTTAAGAGCAGCTAGGGAGAAACAAAAAGTCTTCTACAAAGGACAGTCAATAAGAATAAGCTCGGACTACTAAGCAGAAACCATGCAGGGAAGAAGTCAATGGGATGACACGTATAAAGCCTTGAAGGAAAAAAACTGCCAGCCAGGAATTATATATCCAGCAAAACTGTCTCTCAAATATGATGGTGAAATTAGGGCATTTCCAGATAAAAAGAAGCTTAGGGAATCTGCAAAAACCAAACAAAAATTACAAGAAATACTAAAAGGAGTCCTCCGGTTAGAAAATCAGTAACATCAGATAACAACCCAAGACTATAACAACTAGACACAGCAACCAGGTATCAACCCAGATAGGGAATTCACAAAAATGAATCAAAGCTAAAACACTGAAAATAGGGAAAAAGAGATGCCAATATGTAAAAGATGACAACATTAGAACAAAATAGAGGGACTAAAAAATGTAGACTGATTTTTCATATGGAGAGGAAGTCAAGGCAATATGAAAAAATAAAAGACTGGTATAAACTCAGAAAAATAGGGGTAAATAGTAAGGTAACCACAAAGGAAACTAACATTCCTACACGTCAAAATAAAAAACAACAAAAATATAGACTCAGGAAATACAAGATCAACAACGATAAAAAGAAAATACATAAAGAAAAATGACTCAGCACAGAAAATTAAGTGGAACACAGAAACTGTCAACAACACACAAAAAAAGACATCAAAATGACAGCACTAAACTCATACCTATCAATAATTATGCTGAATGTAAATGGACTAAATGCACCACTAAAGAGACAGAGAGTGGCAGACTGGATAAAAAAACACAATCCATCTATATGCTGCCTACAAGAGACACACCTTAAAGACACAAAGTAAAATTCAAAGGATGGGAAAAGATATATCAAGCAAACAACACTCAAAAAAGAGCAGGAGTGGCAATACCAATCTCTGATAAAACTTATTCCAGTGCAAACAATTCCCTAAAAATCTTCCTTATTCCTAACAAGGAATAAGTAAATTTTTGTTTCTGACAACCAAAAGAACTAAATATGCCCTAGCAAAGTTTTTGCTGCACGTAATCTTTAAGTTCTTTCACTACTGACTTTTTCTCCTCTTGTTTAAATCTCCCCAATCTGATGTTACTGCTTTAAACCACAGCTTTGAACTGGTTTGAACCGGTGTAGTTACAGCCGATGAAGCAAAACAGGAACAGATAAGAAATTTACAATTTGGCAGATTTGGCATGGTACTTGGAACGGGAAAAATCATGGGTCAAAGCCTTGGAATGAGAGACTTGGAAGAGGCATAGTGAGCCCGTTCAGGAACCTCATGTGCCAGACTGGATTACTGGCAGGACTGTAGGAGTGTGACACACGTTCAAGGCAGCATGGTTGGCTGCCATATTTGAGTGGGGTATTGCTGCTTTGGACTGTGCTCAAAATCCGAGGGCAAGAGATTTGGCTGCTATGCAACACATACGCTGGCCTTGTTCTCTAAGAGGGAGATTAAACTTCTAGCAGGGCTTCAATCTGTAATTTTTCCCATTCTGGCTATCTTTCCGGTTCACCGTAACTTTACAAATCTGAGTCTGTTCCAGTGACGCTTCCTTACTTGGGAGATGCTGGATTTAAAAACTAAATCAAAATAATGAACTAATAATATAGGCTAACGGTAACTAATAATATAGGCTAATGACTGAACTGGGCAGAACTAGTTCAAAGCCCTATTTTAAACAAAAGAGATTTTACTATTTAAGCACATGCAAAGAAAAAATGAAAACTTCTCGACTAATTGTCTTTACATTTTGAGGGATCATGACTCCTTTGAAAGCAGATAACTACAGAACCTTTCTCCAGAAAAATGCACATGCGTTTATTCTTAGATAACCGTTTCTTGATTCAAATACTTTCAGCCTCAAAAGAAGTTATCAACAATTACAAAATTGAAGACTTCTGAAGAAATAGCTTATGTATCATCCAGTGTTACAAAGTTAATATTCTGTCTGTTCCATTTTGTGAAAACCTACCTTTAATGCTTGCTTATATCTCTACATTAACACACAGTATTTGTTCCACATTTCAAGTCAGAAATTATTTCTTTCATATATGCATCACAAAATATCAGAAAAAAAAGTCCCAACTAGTTTATTATTTAAATTATCAGGACTATAACCTATACTCCATTCAAGTAATAAAAAGCAGAAGAAAATTCATAAACATGTCTAAAAAGATTTGGTAACAACTTTTTTTTATTTTACACATTACTTAAGCAAAAACAAAACACCCACTGGCAAAAGTATTTCTAACCAATTCAGATAAGCAAAAGTATTTTAAAAAATTACATAGACATTCACCTGCCCCAAACACTTACATGTAGAATCCAAAGTATTGATATTGCCAAATATGTACGTAAATTAAAGATATTATATATAATAATTAAGGCAGATCATGAAATGTTCCTAAATATACTCACAGAGAGATAGCTGTTAATGTCCACATCATCAGTGATGGTTTGGCGCTCTCCTTTATAGTTAATTTTCCGAAACCTTCGTCTAGACTGTCTGGCAGGAATTTCTCTTTGTAGAATACTTTCTTCATTATCTTTGGAATTTTCCACCTGAAACACATGTTCACAGTCCTGACTAAATATCCAATTTTTCCATATTACTGACCATCTATGAAGTCTTAACAGGTTCATAAGGAAGCTTCATTTACTTCTTGTTAGCCTCAAGTAAACTGCTTATGAGTTTGAAAAGATTAAAGATGACATTATTATAAAGATCTGGAGACCACAATTTCCTTCCAGGAAATAGTCTCTCTTCCTCACATAAACGTATATCTTCTAAGTAAAATCACTTACCAGAAATGAGGGCAGTTAACTACACCTACACATTCAATAATTACAACTTTAAAGTTAGTCTAATTACAAATTGCCTGATTATATATATGTATTTTACTTAGCAATAATCATGGCTATGTTTTTAGTGAATCATTAAACGATAAAAGAAAAACACCATATGCATTATTCTTTGGTTTACATCTTAATGTATGACAACAGTTTCCAGTAAGGCTGACATTTTCTAAGAAAGAAGGAAACCAATAATTTATGAAGGGCTTACAATGAACAAGCATGCATATACAGTATACTGTTAGTTCACGCAACAGCCTTGCAAAGCAGGTATTAGTACTATTTCTACTTTATAGATGAACAAAGTAAAAATCAAAGAATATAAGTGACTAATCCAGTCTCACAACAATGACATTAATTAAAGGTGAGTTGGAAAACAGACCTATGCTATTGACACAGACCACACTAGCTGGCCAATTACAGATTAAACCATAATTTAAAAAATTAACTGTTTTTACAAAGGCATACTGGTATGTTTTAAAGTACACCTTAAAACTGAGCCCACATTCAATAAATACCAAATGATTAAGTTTTCTCCCATGACTACTGTTCTAATCTACCTGTTTTGTTTTGTTTTTTAAACTTAGTGGGAGTTAGTCTTTCTGAAGTGTAGGTCAACCTTTGGTCCATTTGCTACTTCACTGTTCTGTCTTTGTGGTTTTACTCAGTCTGCCTTTGCTTCCCACACAGACTTGCTGTGGGGTGGGGTGAGGATAGAGTGTTAGAGAGCATATGTTGGGAACTGGTGATTTCTCTCTTAATATTTATACTTATTTTGAAGTTGGGTATTCTCTATAATCAAGTTATGCTGTGAGCATGGTTTATGTGTAGATATCTTTTACTCTTCTTGTAGTTCTATACTGTCTTTGGAGAAAATATTAGGAGATGGGTAATTAAGAATGCACCATTGTTTTCAACTACCTAAAAACTAAATCAAAATAATGAACTAATAATACAGGCTAACAATAAATAATCTTATCATGGGGTGAGTGTTTCTAAGCATGCCCCAAAGTAAAAAGTAACAAGAGTGGGGAAAAAAACTTGATAGATTCAAATAAATATAAATCATAATCTATTGTGTGACACAAATACACTTTAAATATAAAGTTGAAAGAAAATGATAAAATTATAGCCTATTATAAGCAAAAGTGTTCTTGTACTTAGTAAAAACAAAAAAAGAAACTCTTATGAATAAATAAGAAAAGAAACAATCCAAGTAGAAAAATAGGCAGGGGATATTAATACGAAGAAACACAAACTCACAATAAAGCATATGAGAAGATGCACAACCTCATTACAAAAATTAAGTTAGAATAGGATATTTCCCTTAAACTGTGAAATTAAATGACTGGCATACCAGGTGATTGGGAAGGTGTTTGGTAACAGGTGATCACTATCACCGGTGGGGTTATTTAAATGTGCATAAATACGTGTGATGGTTAAGGTTTTGTGTCAAACTGGCTGAGCCAAGATTCTCAGTGGTTTGGTAGTTATGAATCATGTAGTTATTCTCCATTTTGTGATATAACGTAATCACCTCCATGACATGATCTCATGTGATCAGCCAATCAGTTGTAAGCAGAGCTTCCTCGAGGCTGTGGCCTGCATCCAATATATCTGGACGTTATGGAAAAACTCGCTGACTTTTGCTCACTCAGGATCCTGTACCTGGCCTACCATCGTCTGATCTCTGGTTCTTGGGACTGAAACAGTGGCCTGCTATACTGCCTGCCGATCTTTGGATCTGTCAGCCTACGCAGCCTGTGAGCCAGCAGCCTGCCATCTTACCTGCTAATCTTAGATTCTTCAGCCTCTGAAGCTATGCGAGTCAGGAGAAGCCTCCAGCCTGATGTCTGACCCATGGACTTGGGATTTGCCAGCTTCTACAACTGTGTGAGCCATTCCTTGAGATAAATCTCTTTGTCTCTCTACATATATATGTGTGTGTATCTATCTATCTACATCTCTCTCTCTCTAATATTTATACTATGCCAGAATATATACACATGCTTCACTGGTTTTGTGTCTCTAGAGAAACTAGTCTAAGACATTTGGTACCAAGAGTGGTTCTAGAGAAACAAAATTTTAAGGATGAGTCTTCTAAACTGATTCTCAAGTCTAGTCTTAAAGATGTTGATAACTCTGTTTCCAGTAGTAAAGAAGGCACTGCTAATCCATGTCATGAGGTAGCAATAGAAATACGCAAAATATCACCAACAACAGATTAAGTACTGACGACAGGAGAGGCTCTGAATGATCGCGCATTTGATACTTTTCTACAATTCTGTCAAATAAAGAAGTATAAGGAAGCTGGTTGGTTGGTCCTACTTTCACTAGACAAAGTGGTGAAAGAAAGAGATGAGTTCAGGGCTTCAGAATTACACCTTCAGCACCACATAAAAGACCTCAAAGTTTCCACTTATGCCTGGAAAGAAAGCCTTATTTCTCGTGGTAACAGAGCTGATATCGCCGAAAACAAAGCCCAGAGTCTTATCGTGAGAGTGGCTGAATTATGCCAACTGAACTCCTAACTTCAAATGGTGTCTGAAGTTAAAGTGAGGGCATTGACTGGGAAGAAACGGGATCCTGAAACTTGGGATGGTGACATATGGGCAGAAAATCAGAAAACTGGGGACAATGAGCCTCTAAATCCCAGTGAATCACTCCTGTCAACAGAACCAGCCTTCTCACTCTCATCTGAAGAGATTACTCTATCTTGTCTGCTAAGCCACCCTCCCCATAAAAGCATTAGTCCCTCCACCCTCATCTGATGAGATTAACTCAACTATGTCTGAAAAGCTATTGTTTGAGATATCGCCTAGGGCGGCACCTGAGTCACTGCCTGGGGCACAGCCTGAGGCAGATGCCTTACAAAACATTGCTGAATGTTCTCAGAACACATTACTACCACCCATTTTGCTTCTAGACCTATAACCAGACTTAAGTCTCAGCAAGTTCCAAAAGGTGATATACAAAGTGTGACCCAGGAGGAGGTATGCTACATTCCAAAAGAACTGCTTGACTTTTCTAATATGTATAGAAACCTGGGGAATATGTGTGGGAATGGCTATTAAGGATGTGGGATGATGGTGCAAGGAACATAAATATGGATCTGACTAAATTTATTGATATGGGCCCACTAAGCACAGATTCTTCAATGTTTCAGTCAGCCTGAGGGGTTAGGAAAGGATCCTAATAGTTTATTTGGTTGGTTCGCTGAAGCACAGATTACACAGTAGCCCACACTAAACCAAGGTGATGTTCCAGACATGCCTTGGTACACCGTAGAAGGTATCCAAAGGCTTAGGGAAATTGACATGTTAGAGTGGATTTATCAGGTTAGACCCACAAACTCACACATGGAGTGCCCAGAGGACACACCTTTTATCACAACGAATTTGTGAGGAACAAATTTGTAAACGGAACCCCAGCATCACTGAAGACTGCCGATTACTATTTTATGTAAGTCAGATTTGACAGTGGGAACTGCTGTAACTCAAGTAAGACATCTAACTACGATGGGGCTAATTGGATCTCACGCTGGTAGGGGCCACGTGGCAACACTCAATTGATAAAGACAAGGTGGATGTGGTTATCATAATGGACAATGGAGTCGAGCAGTAATCAGAATAATCTGACTCACATGGACTTGGGGTGTTGGCTACTTGGTCATGGTGTCCCTAGGAGTGAAACAGATAGGAAATCTACCAAATGTTTACTTGACGTGTATAAGCAGAAGAATTCTCAGTCAAGTGAATGGAAGTTTAACTTGAATTGTCAGAAAAGTCACAGACCCTCAATCAGTTCCTGGACTTGAGCCAGTTTACAGACCAACAACTCCCTGAAGGGGAGGTTGGGTCCCCTTAAAGAAGGACCCCACTACACTGCCAAAAATTTATACTGTTTATCTTACTCCCAGTCTCCCCAAAGTGATCTATGGCCTTTTACGACAGTGTCTGTTCACTGGGGAAAGGGCAATAATTAGACTTCTGGGGGATTACTAGACAGTGTCTCTGAACTGACACTAATTCCAGGAGACCCAAAGTGTCACTGTGGCCCACCAATCAGAGTAGGGGCATATGGAGATCAGGTTATTAATGGAATCTTAGCTCAGGTTTGTCTCACAGTGGGTCTAGTAGGTCCCCAAACCCACCCTGTAGTGATTTCCTCAGTTTAAGAATGCATAATTGGAATAGATATATTCAGCAACTGGAAGAACCCCTACACTGGATTCCTGCCAAGTGGAGTAAGGGCTATTATGGTAGAAAAAGCTAAGTGGAAGCCATTAGACCTGCCCCTACCTAGGAAAATAGTATACCAAAAGCAATACTGATTTCCTGGAGAAAATGCAGAGATTACGCAATCATCAAGGACTTGAAGGACACAGGGGTGGTGATTTCCACCACATTCCTGTTCAACTTGCCTATCTGGCCTGTGCAAAAAAAATGATGGATCTTACAGAATGACAGTGGATTTTCATAAACTTAACCAGGTGGTGACTTCAATTGCAGCTGCTGTTTCACACGCAGTTTCACTGCTTGAGCAAACACATCTCCTAGCAGCCGGTATGTAGCTACTGATCTGGCCAATGCCTTTTACTTGATTACAGTTTTGAAGGAGCACCAGAAGCAGTCATCTTCAGCTGGCAAGGTCAGCAATACACCTTCACTGTCCTACCTCAGAAGTATATCATCTCTTCAGCCCTATGT